GAACCCAAACAGGCCCACACCAAGACACATAGTAATTAAAATACCAAAAATTAAAGACAAAGAGAGAATACTAAAAGCAGCAAGAGATAAGCAACAGGTTACCTGCAAAGGAAACCCCATAAGGCTCTCAGCTGACTTCTCACAAGAAACACTACAGGCCAGAAGGGAGTGGCATGAAGTAATCAAGGTCATGAAAAACAAGGATCTGAATCCAAGACTACTTTACCCAGCAAGGCTATCACTCAAAATAGAAGGTCAAATAAAGAGCTTCCCAGACAAAAATAGGCTAAGGGAATACATTAGCACCAAACCAGCACTGCAAGAAATGCTCAAAGGACTACTGTAATTAGTAGAAGCAACAGGAAAAAAAATATAACCACACTAAACAAATATGGCAATAAACAAGTACATATCAGTAATCACCTTAAATGTAAATGGACTGAATGCTCCGATAAAAAGACACAGAGTAGCTGATTGGATAAGAAAGCATGACTCATCTATATGTTGTTTACAAGAGACCCACCTCACAACAAAAGACTCACATAGGTTGAAAGTGAAGGGATGGAAAAAAATCTTCCAAGCAAAAAAAAGCTGGGGTAGCAATACTCATATCTGATAAAATAGATTTCAAAGTGAAGTCCATAACTAGAGACAAAGAAGGCCACTACATAATATTGAAAGGATCTATCCAATAGGAAGATTTAACCTTGATAAACATATATGCACCCAATATAGGAACACCAAAATATATTAAAAATCTTCTGGAGGACTTCCAAGGAGAAATCGACAGCAATACAATCATAGCAGGGGACTTCAACACCCCGTTGACACCACTGGATAGATCCTCTAGACAAAAAATTAGCAAGGAAACAGAGACTCTAAATGAAGCACTAGATCGAATGGATTTAATAGATATCTACAAAGAATTACACCCCAAAACTACAAAATTCACATTCTTCTCAAGTGCACATGGGACATTCTCAAAGATAGACCACACGATAGGACACAAATCTCTACAAGTTCAAGAAGATTGAAATCATATCAAGCATCTTCTAACATCACAATGGCATGAAACTAGAAATCAATTGCAATAGGAACATGCAAAGACATTGGAACATATGGAGGCTAAATAGCATGTTATTAAACAATGAATGGGTTACCAAGGAAATCAAGGAAGAAATTAAAAACTTCCTGGAAACCAATGAAAATGAAGACACAACAACACAAAATCTATGGGATGCAGCAAAAGCAGTTCTGAGAGGGAAGTTCATAGCACTACAGGCCTACCTCAAGAAGCAAGACAGATTTCTAATTGACTGTCTAACCTCACAACTTAAAGAATTAGAAAGCAAACAAAAAGAAAACCCCAGAGCAAGTAGAAGGAAGGAAATAGTAAAGATCAGAGCAGAAATAAATGACATAGAGACCAAAAAAACAATTCAAAGGATCAATGAAACAAAGAGCTGGTTTTTCGAAAAGATAAACAAGATTGATGGACCCTTAGCTAGACTCACCAAGAAACAAAGAGAGAGAACCCAAATACACAAAATCAGAAATGAAAGAGGAGGAGTAACAACCGACACCACAGAAATACAAAAGATCGTTAACAGCTACTATAAACAACTATATGGCAACAAATTCAACAATCTAAGCGAAATGGACAAATTTCTAGAAACACACAGTCTCCTAAAACTGGATGGGGAAGAGATAGAAAACTTGAACAGACCAATAACAACTAAGGAAATTGAAGAGGTAATCAAGACTCTCCCAGCAAACAGAAGCCCAGGCCCAGATGGCTTCACGGGGAGTTTTACCGAACATTCAAAAAAGAACTAACACCCATTCTCCTCAAAATATTTCAAAAAACGCAAGAAGAAGGAAGAATTCCAAACTCGTTCTATGAGGCCAGCATAATTCTAATTCCAAAACCAGAAAAAGGCACTACAAAGAAGGAAAACTACAGGCCAATATCCCTGATGAACATAGATGCCAAAATCCTGAACAAAATACTAGCTAATCGGATCAAGTAATACATCAAAAAAATTATTCACCATGACCAAGTCCTTTGAAACTACATAGAGGGACCTGGAAAGTATCATCCTAAGTGAAACAAGCCAAACAGAATAAGACAAGTATCATATGATCTCACTTATTTGTGGAATATAATGAACATAACAGTCTGAGGAATGGCGTAGTCCCAAAGACGTGGAAGTGGGGTACAGACTGACAATCCCCAGAAGAGGGGGTGGTGGGGGAGAGATAAACCACAGAACTTATATGCATGTATGCATGAACAGTGCATATGGACAACAAAGCTGGGGACAGGGTGGGAAGGGAGGGGGAGGGAGGAATCAGTGTGGGGGGGGAGAAACATCTGTAACAAAAATTAATAAAAAAAAAATAATAAAATAAAATAAAATAATAAAGAAAATGTCAACTCTCTGAGGATTCCTAAGGAACTGAGTTCCCAGATCCAGAGGGCAAACAGGATCTCACATTGTATAAACGTCTACAATAAGCCCCGGTTTGCATATTTTATTCCTATTGATAGCATAAAATATTAAAACTTGCTAGCCAAAAGCATAATACCATCCTCAGGCATATCTAGATTTTGAGTGACTATACTTTCTACAATCTTCACTTAAATTGAATCTCTAACTGAAGGAACTTCATACAACCTGGCAAAAACAGGGAACCTGTATAGTAGGCGATGCATTTACCTATCAGACAAGTTTTGTGAATATATAGAATTATACACACATAGATTTAAAGCAATATTAGGTGCCTGCTGTATTGTACACTATCATTAGATCATCTTCAAATCTTACAACAATCTGAAACATTGGTATCATTACTACCTTCCTTTTACAGAAGAGAAAACAGAAAAGTTTGGTAACTCTCTCCATTACACAGCTACCAAGTATAGGAATTGAGAAAAAAAACTTGTCTTTCTCCTAAGCTCAAGTCATTATGCTGCCTCAAGAGACCAGTTTTCTCATTAGAGAACAGACTGCAATGGGGAAGACAAAGCAAGAAAGAACTAAAATTACTACATACCAAAATTAATATTGGGGAAAATCAAGTCACTTATTTTAGAGAATAATGTCCCAAAGAACAATTTAATAACACACATACCCATCTTTAATATCTGTAGTCATATGTTGTGTTTAATAGAAGGAAAGTTTATTGGCTTCATAACAGGCTTCATTTAATACATTTAGAGTGTCAAAATGCATCTAGTGGCAAAATTAGATGGCTTTTATTGATCCCCAGGTGTGGTTAGAGCCACAAAAGATTTTGGATTCCTCACTTTAAGAAACTTATCCATGTCCAAAATCAGAGATAGAACAAAGTTGTTGCTCCTTTTTCCAAAGATTGCAGGGATTGGTACAGAAATGGAGAACTGAAAGCAATACGCAGGCATCTTACATGAGTTCAGTATTTTGCAGGATCCTCACTGAATCTTTTTTTTTTTTTTTTTTAAGATATATTTGACATATAACCCCCACTGAAGTGCAAAACCTTACCATCGAAAGGGATCTTCGAAACAGTCTAATTCAGCCATACTTTCATAATGTATCAGTCAAGGGATCACAAAGCCTCTACAAGAATGCCCTAAATAATGGGAAATTCATTCATTTACAATGCTGCCTTTTTCATCTACCAATAGTTTTGACTAATGAACGTTCATACTGAGCTGAATCTTTCTCCTAACTTCCATCCACTGATGCTAATTCCAAGCTATAAGACCGCCTAAAACAATACCTCCCCACAAAGTTTTTCTACCCAGATTACCCTTCTTGGTACTTTGTCTAGGGTTTCAAATGTCCTGTGACTACTGCTAATCGCGGATAGGTTGGTCAGGGCCACTGAAAACCAATAATCAGGACTGAGTGGTCCAACCACTGCAAAATAGAGCAGCGTATCTGACTTCCCCTCCTGGGCACTCCCACCGGGCCTGGGGGCAGCTCTCCACAGTGCTGAGCTTCATCTGGGCTTCACTGGTCCCAGGCCAGTGAGAGTTGGAAAGAGGCACTCTCCAATTACTCAATTATCCTTGAGATCTAAGGCCTTGACAACCTTCAGAAACCTCTTAAAGAAACATCCTTAACCATAAGTCAGCATTAGCAACTACATAAAACCTGTCTTGACTGCTCCACGTTCCCCAAACCCAAAAGAACTGACTGTTCCACTGCTTGATTTTAGAAAGCCTTCCAGAAAAAATTCTGGCAAAGCTACGTAGGTCTCACCATGAGTGGAAATTAATCAAATGGTTTCTCTTCTCTAAATCTCTCAGTACCTCCGTTTTACTCACAAGCCATTTGCAACCATTCTGCTTCCCTTCTATCTCCACACTGTCTGAGAACATCCTGACTTCTCACTGCCATGCTATAGAGAAAGCCTCAACTGTGGGGAGGAGCCAGAGAAATAACCGAGCCAGAAGATTATTGCCACAAGTATTTTGGACATTGCCAGTCACAATGTGGAGCTATTCATGTTCAAGCCGGTCACAGAGGATGAAATGAATTCTTGTTACAAAGTACCCATTTATGTAAATTCTTTCTGAAAACAATAAAAGATTTTAGTTGTAAACAAAGTATTTTCGCAACTCTAACCACTACATTCTGGATTTTTATGTTGAAACTGGTGAGATCCACTTAATATAAGAACTCAGTGTTAGTGTGGGTAGAGAAATTCACACTGGGTAGTAAGTTAGCATCCTATGTATTTAAGAAATAATGAAAATTCAAAATAATTACATTTAACTGGAAGAGGACAAAGGAGTCCATGTTTTTTTTAATTACAAACAAACTGTGTATTCCCAATAAATTCATAGTAAAATAAGCTTTAAAAAAAGCTTTAAAATGTCAAAAAAGGAAAAAAGCCAGTAACTAGGACAAAATATTAATGAAATTAATAATATATACACTTGGCTTTAGAGAATTCTTACATACTCAGTTGATTAAAACATCCTATATGATTCTGTACAATTTTTACCCAAAAATAGTTTCCAAAAGAAAAATTAAAATTAAACATTTATGACTGGAGTTAGTTGTAGCAAGGAATTGGATGTCAGTGTTTGACTGCTCTTTGCACCTTCAAAGTTCTGCAGAAAATTCTGTCTTCTTTTTAGACCATCCAGAATGACTGAATTACTAGATGCCAGGCTCTGTGTCCTAAAAATATTAAAAAGAGAATTATTACCTTCAAAAGGGCCTGAATTTCTAATCGAGGCATTATACTTTCATTTGTTTTTTTGTAGCAGTATAACATTTACTAACACTAAGGTGAACTTATCAAATAAGTTAACTTTTAAAACTCTAAAGTATTCTTTACATTTTTATTTTTTGGTACGTGCCCAGGAACCGAAACCGGGACTCTCTGGTCCGCAAGCCACGCTCCAACTGCTGAGCCAAACCGGCCAGGGCTGTACTCTTCACATTTTAAATGCTTCACAACAGCACCTCAATTATTTGACAGCTGCTTTATAAGTTCATATTTCCTGAACATCATCTATTCTCAGATCTAATATCAAGTATATTCTAGTCAGAAATAAGTTCCTGAAAAACTCTTCTATACAACTGAAGTAACCAATATCATCTTGTGTAATTTAAATTTTGAGAAGTCATATGAAAGGGAAGAGCTAACTGCAATAAATAGTTTTCATATTGACAACGTTCCCTTCCTCGGAGCTGTAAGCTATGTTAGTCCCTTGTCTAACACATCTGCCTTGCTTCAGCCACATTACTGTTTGGGCATTTTGCTTTTAACGTTCCCCTTTTTCCACCTTTCCTCCTCTACATTATATGTCTATTACATTAAGATATGTCCCAAAAATATGTCCTCCAATAAGTCTCTCATACAGAGCATCACTTTTCTTTTTTTTAATCCTCACCCAAGAATACTTTTCTATTTATCTTCAGATAGAGTGGGAGGGAGAGAGAGAGAAACATTGACATGAGAGGAAAACATCCACTGGCTGCCTCCTGCATGACCCAACCAGGGCCAGAGAAGAACACAAAAGAGGTACTGCCCTTGACCAGAATCGAACCTGCGACTTTTTGATCCACAGGCCGACGCTCTAAACGCTGAGCCAAACTGGCCAGGGCCAGCACATCACTCTTTTTTTTTTTTATCCTCAACCGAGGACATTTTTTTCACTTTTTGTTCAGATAGATCAGGAGGGAGGGAGAGGGAGAGAGAGAGAAACATCAACGTGAAAGGTACACATCAAGTGGTTGCCACCCAGGCCAACCAGGGCCAGGGACAAACTGCAACCGAGGTACATGCCCTTAGCAGGAACCGATCCCGGGTCTCTCTGGACCACAGGCTGACGCTCTAACCTCTGAGTCAAACTGGCCAGGGCCACTCTTTTTTAAAAAAATTTATTGATTGGTCTTAGAGAGAGAGGAAGGGAGAAGGGGAGAGAGATAGAAACATCAATGAGAGAGAATATCGACTGGCCGCCTCCTGCATGCCCCACAATGAGGATCAGGCCTACAGCCTGGGCATGTGCCCTGTCAGGAATCAAACTGGTGACCTCTTGGTGCATGGGTCGACGCTCAACCACTGAGCAACACCAGCTAGGCAAGCATATCACTCTTAATTCCATTTCTCTTTGGCAGTTATGAAGAATTTATGCTTTGTTCTTGAGTTCAATTTGTCTGTCTGTTGTTTGTTGCTCTCCTCAACTATATTAAATTGTAAGCCTCCTATAGGTAGCAACAATATCTTGCTCATCTCTGTCCCCCCAGTCCTTACAACAATATGGCACATACTGTACTTGATGTTCAAATGTTATCTTCCCACCCGGCTAGTGTGGCTCATTGAATTGAGCATCATCCCATGGACTGAGAAGTCCTGGTTCCATTCCCAGTCAGGGCACATGCCCGGGTTGCAGGCTCAATCTCCAGTGTGTGTGTGTGTGTGGGGGGGGGGGGTGTGCAGAAGGCAGCCAATTGATGTTTCTTTCTCACATCATTTCTATTTCTCTCTCCCTTCCTCTCCCTCTAAAAAATCAATAAAAACATATTTTTAAAATGAATAAATTAGAAAAAATGCTATTTTCCTCCCTTTTTCCCTACATGTCTTTAAGGATTATAGTTATAAGTTTGGGTATTTTTAAAAATCATAAGCAATTTTTAAGAAATTAAATTTCTCAAGATTTCACAAATTTCAATTCTCCATTGCATGCCAAAGAGTAATTTCCTTTATCTGTTTTGGGTTTGTTTTTCTTTAGCTTTTTGCCAGAGAGAAAGACAGGGAACTCACAGCTTGTTTATTAACACCACCACTGTCTGCTTTGGAGACATGTTTCAATAATTTAAAATGAATCAAACTATGTTTCCAGCAGAAAAGATCTGCTCCCCAATAAAGAAGTAGATACTTTAAAAATGCAGACTTCCAGATATTTAGCCTGTTATATAAATAATCAGAAATGTCTGCAAATATTTATATGAAAAAACATTCACGGCATATTTATTACAGCCAAAAAAAAAGGGGGAATCTAATGTCAAAGGAAGGAAAATAATGGTTATATACATAATGGAGTCCTCATAGTGGAATACTAAGCAGCCATCAAAAATAATTAGTTGGGTCTATATATATTGATTGTAGGATAGCCATGATAAGTTAGGTGAAAAAAGAAAACCATAGCTCTATATGATTTATTGTTAACAATAATTATATTTACAAATGCATAGGAAAAAGTCTAAAAGAATATATACCAAACTTAATATTTAGGTCACCTATGAAATGGGAAAAGAAAAAGTTGAGGAATGGAGACTTCCAGTTTTAAATTTCTGTCTTACTTTCCTCTTTCAAAAAGAGGTACACAATAATTTTATATAATGAAAATACAAAGATATATGTCAAATTTTAATATGACCTTTTAGAAAACTATTAACATGGGAGAAATGTTCGTGATATGCTATTAACTGAAAAAGGCAACATGCAAAATAGTAACTACAATGTGAGTCCAATAGACAAAACATAGAGATTAATATATTCAGACTAAAGTATTATAAAAATACTAAATTTAAAAGGACTTTTTAAAGTATCTAGATGATTGGATGGTTATAGGTATTTTTAAAAATACTTTTCAGTACTTATTAAATATTCTATTTTGACCATATTACTTTTATAATCTGAACAGTGTTACTCCAATCGGCCTGGAAGATATCAGTGTAAAGTAGCTACCTATTTTTCTCAACTTCTGTAGAACCAGGAATATAAGTGAAAACTTGCAACCTTCCGTTCAGGCAGTGATTGGTTTACGGCAGTTCTTCCCTATTTTTAGAAATAAATCCAGATTTAGTCGTAGTGGCACAGTACAATTTTGGCTCACATTGAAAAGGAACTAAATTTTCCCCGCCCGTCCCTCTATCCCCTTCGCTAGAGGGATGCAGAGGGGAGAGGGGTGGGAGGAGTAGATCTTGGGGCGCTCCTCTCCGGACGTGGACCATCTGCTCTTTCCAGCCGCAGAGCCCCACTTCCCGCCGCGGGAGCGCAAGGGCAGCGGGACCTTCAAAGATAATTACGGCTCAACCAGAGAAAACACCAATACATCAGGTATTACACGAATACGTGAATTACATGAAGACCAAGAACACCCCGGTGTATGAATGTGATAGATCCGATGTGCAAATACACATGCCCACTTTCCCCCTCAGAGTAACCACTGGTGACATAACCTGCACAGGTGAGGGTGCAAGGAAGAAGCTGGCGAGGCACAGGGCTGCAGAGACTGCCATAAACATTCTGAAGCCAACGCAAGTGTTCGCTTTGCAGCTCCCGACCCCCTATGCCTGACCCTTCCAAGCAACCAAAGAACCAGCTGAATCCTACTGGTTCAGTACAGGAATTGGCTATTCACCATGGCTGGCGACTTCCTGCATAAACCCTTTCCCCGGAGGAAGGACCTGCTCATAAGAGAATATACCACAATTTGCAAGGTAGAGTCATTTATGGACACTGGAAAGAGAGCATAAAAGTAAAAATAAAAAAAGCCAAGACAAAGCTGCTAAGAAATTTCTTGCCAAATTCAGTAATATTTCTCCAGAGAAACACATTTCTTTAACAAAGGTAGTAGGACATTCCACCTACTGAAAATAAGCCTCCTCAGTATTCCAAATACAGATTACATCCAACTGCTTAGTGAAATCGCCAAGGAACAAGGTTTTAATATAGTATATTTGGATATAGAAGAACTGAGTGCCAATGGGCAGTATCAGTGTCTCACTGAACTGTCCACCAATCCCATCACTGTCTGTCATGGCTCTGGGATCTCCTGTGGCAATGCAGAGTGCTGCCACGCACAATGCTTTGCAGTATTTAAAGATAATAGCAGAAAGAAAGTAAACTTGGAGCAACTTAGAAAACGCTTCAACAGTGCATAAAAAGTTCTTCTTTCACCCCCCTGCCAGAGTGGCTCCGCTGGATGGAGTGTCCTCCCGTACACCAAAAGGTTGCTGGTTCGATTCAGGTCAGAACACACACCTGGGTTTCATATTCAATCTCCGGTGGGGTCAGGGCACTTACAGAAGGCAACCATCAATGTTTCTCTCTCCTCTTTCACATCGATGTTCCTCCCTCCCTCCCTCTCTCTCTCACACACTTTCTCTCTCTGAGCATGCCCTCGGGTGAAGATTTAAAAAAAAAAAAGTTACTCTTTCACCCCTTCCCAGTAATTACATTACTGTAATGTTTGAGTATGTGTGTTGCTTCTAAATTTCCTTCATAGATTCCATCAACACTCCAGATTTAATTATCTCCTAGTGGTTATTAAATTCTTTTTAATGGCTTCCAAAAAAATGAACTATATTCTATTATGTAAGAGATTTCAGTGTAACTTTATATAATTTTTTTTTTCAGTTAAATAAAGGCCGGCAGAATTGTATCATTATAAATAGTCTACTCAGGAGTTTCCCAGTAGGTAACTCAATATGCCCTTAGTTTTAATAATTCCTGTGGGATAGTGAATAATCACTTTTATGTGCACTTACCGTGGAGAGTCTATTCCACTATCTCCTGCCATGCTATGGTTTTCTGTTCCTTCCAAGTGACTGTGTTCATGTTGGCTATCCTGAGTCATCACTGGCTTATGCGAAGTGTTGAAAAGTTCTAACTTTTGTGTGAACTGGTTTCTCATTTCCTGATTCTGAGCACTCTGAGTCCAGCTAGCTGGTTTCTTTCCTGTGTCACCAACAGAGACTTGTGGGGTTCCAGCCTCAGAGGTGGCTTTCCTTGTGCTACAGTAATCAAGTATACTTCCATCAGCAGGTGCTGAGGCCTGCACACAGTTAGCAACACTGGGTTCCTCTTCACCGTTAAAACTGGACTGGGTCCCTGAATTGAGGCCACAGCTTTCATCGGAGAGGTTGGGTTTTTGGCTTTCACCTGGCTTAGTAAGCAGCTCAGAGAGTTTGTAACATTCATTTCCTTTAAGCACCTGAAGCTCAAACCTCTGTATTTTGCTGTTGTACTCAATCAGAGATCTTTCAGTTACCTTTTGTTTTCCTAAATGATTCCATTTGCTTTCCCCAGTAAAGGAATATTGAATGGGGCCAGGCAGCATTTGACCCAAATCATCATTCTCAGAAAAGTCATCTTCATCTAGATATAATGAGCTGCAGGCACCATCATCATCTTCCACTTTATTGTGATTCAGGGCTTGGTCATCGTCAGAAAGCACTTCATTTTCTAGACTCATAGTCTCTGCTTCCTGCACAAATGCCTTTCTCATTAGTGTTTCCTCTAAGTCTCCGTCTTGTTGCTCAGGTTGTCTCAAATTGTTCACACCAAGAGGATAATCCAAAAGACCAAGATTTTGGAACTGGTGTGTTGTTTTATCAACTGATCTACAAGCAGAGGATGCTTGGTCTAAAGAGGAGGAACCTGGTGATGGAAGGACACTCTGTGTCTCTTTTGCCTCCCCTAATGTGTCAAAGTGAGAATAACTTTTCCTCAAGACTTCAGGGATCACTTTGTTTTCTCTACCATACACATCACATGTCAACATGCATTCCCGAAAGGAACAGCATTGACTATCATTTTGCAAAACACTACACTGAGAGTAATTTAAGAGGTGATCATTAAATTCATCACTGATAGGTTTGACAGTAGAATTATTATAAATGGATTCTGCCCTCAGTTTATCATTACATTGTTCTGCATATGGCCGTTTGGCCTCCTTCTCCAAGATTCGTGAGGAATCTAAAGACCTTGACCTTTGGAAAGGCTTTCCCTTTGGTCTAATCTGACTGGGTTTCAGATCACTGGTGTTCTGAATGTTGTGCCCTTTGGTCATTGGGCTCCTCCGATGAGACAAACCCTGGAAAGGATTACTGATTTGCTTTTTATAAATTAAATGGGAACCTAGCTCTGATGGGTTCTCACCAAGTGGTTTCTGAACTACTGCGTCCTGTGGGCTTTTAATTCTGGGGGTGGGCTGTGTAGCAGGGAGCTTGGGGTGTTTCTCCAGTCCAATGCTCCCTGGCTGAGGCTCACTTCCCTGACTCCTGGCTTTGTGTCTCTCCCTATGAGAATGGCCTCTCCTTCGAAGCTTTGCAGACCGGCCCTGCCTTTTCTTAACTCCCTCTCTTGGAGGATATTTATGCCCGACTGTCAGCATATCAGTGGAAGTGCCCTGGCTATTATATTTTTTCTGTTCTTCGTATTTTTGCATTAGGACGGTATGTCTGATTAAGTTGTCAACAGTCAGAATGGGATTAATTCGTTTAATTATCTCATGTTCAATGTCTCGAGGGATATTGTCCAAGTTATCTTCATCTCGGACAGGCCATTCTTCAGGTGGGAATTGGGCGGAGAAACTGCTGTGCTCTGTTCTGGACTTCTCCTTTCTGGATATACTGCGCCAAAAGAGGCTAAAGCCAAACTTCTTGCCTTTTTCTCTGTCTTTTGTGTACGGTAAAGGTTTGGTATTCTCAGAGACAGGATTCTCCTCAGACACTGAAACTGCTTGATTCTGTACCAAAGATTTGGATTCCCCAAGACCTTTCTGGCCTTTTCTAGTCACTTCTGCTGCAGCTGCAGGTTCCTGGAGATCCTGAGAGCACACATCAGGGAAGCACTGGCAAGACTGACAATGGGAAATGGGGGCAGCATTTTCTTTGGCTAACTGTGCAAGCTCTGCAGAGCTCTCCATGCTCACCAGGTACGTGATGCGAGCTGGTATCACGTGACTCTCATTTGCGTGGACTCTCTTACTATCTTGGGGGGTTGTATTTGTGATGAAGTAAGTCTGAGGAGTAACTATGAAGTATCCTTCTCCAGTGTGATAAATCTTCCTTTCTTTAATCAGAGTTCCCAGAGTGGTATAGAGAATATCTTGAGATGGAATTGCAATGCCTGAAACAAGAGCATTTTACACTGATAAATTCTGAACAAAAAACATTTTAATGAGTGAAATCAGTAACACAGAAATGACCACACATTTGCTTGATGAACCTAGACCTATTATAACACAATTGATATATGTAATTGCTAAAAAAAAAAAAACATTAACAGTAATCAGTTGTTGTTGTTGTTTAATTTTTATAAGTATCTTTGAGCCAAACTGATGGCATATGCAGGGGAGCAAGATCTCAGATGCTCCCAACAGTAATCATATTTTAACTGAATAACAGGAATATCATTTGGTCCACACAAAGACATATGGCTAGGCTAATCATTAAGTAGAGGAAAATAATCTGAGTTCACTCAAATACGAACTCTAAATTATACAACCCTATTATAAATTTAAATTTTGCCTAAGGAAAGTATTCTTTTTGCTGTTGTTGTTAATCCTTACCTGAGGATATTTTTTCCATTGATTTTTAGAGAGCGTGGAAGGGAGGGAGAAAGAGAGAGAAACATAGATGTGAGAGAGACAACAGATCAGCTGCCTCCCAAATGCACCCCAATGGGGACTGGGAATCAAACCTGCAACCCAGGTACATGCTCTTGACCAGGAATCAAACCTGAGACCCTTCAGTGCTCAGGCCGACACTCTAACCACTGAACAACAGCTGTCAGGGCAGAAAGTATTTTTAAGAGCAAACATGGGAGGTTTTTTTAAAAATATATTTTTATTGATTTTTTAGAGAGAGAGAGAGACATCAATGTGAGAGAGAAACATTGATCGGCTGCCTCCTACATGCCCCACCCCCCACACACTGGGGATTGAGCCTGCAACTTGGGCATGTACCCTGACTGGGAACGAACTGGGAATCAGTCCATGGGACGACACTCAATCCACTGAGCCTCACCAGCCGGGCAAACATGTTGTTTTTGAAAACCAGTCTCATAGTTTAAATCTTAAGCATCTAAAGAGAAAAATGAAAATCAGATCATGTTTGGGTGAGGGCAAACTAAGATCTGGATTATGGTGGGAAGATAGCTAATAATTTTAAAAGAAATTTCCTTTTCCAAATAGCAGGGTTCAAAATTATATTTTCAAAACAATGTTCAAAATGTTTGTGGAAGTATAACACTGGAAGACTCTTCCCAAAAGCAGCCAGAAGTGACCTCTGAAAATGTTTCACTATTCACTTGACCCAGAAAACCCCACAAAATCATGCAAAGCAAGAGGTTCAAATCTTCACGTTCATCTCAAGAACACTCATGAAATTGTACAGGCCATGAGGATATGCATATTCAAAAAGCCACCAAGTATCTGAAGGATGTCATGTTAAATGTGTGCCATCCCATCGTTACAATAGTGGACTTGGTAGTTGTGCCCAGGCTAAGCAACAGTTGCTGGCCCCAAACGAGTGCTGAATCTTTGCTGCACGTGCTTAAACATGCAGAGAGCGATGCTGAACTGAGGGGTTTAGACATCGATTCTCTGGTCATTGAGCACAGCCAGGTGAACAAAGCTCCCAAGGTGCAGAGTAGAACTTACAGAGCTCATGGGCGGATGAACCCACATGTGAGCCCTCCTGCCACACGGAGAGGATCCTGCTGAGAAAGAGCAGATTGTTCCTAAACCAGAAGAGGAGGTTGCACAAAAGAAAAAGATATTACAGATGACAGTGAAGAAATAAAAAACTTATGGCCCAGGAATAAATTCAGCATAAAATAAATACTAATTCAAGGGGGGGAAAGGTGTAACACAAAGAAAATACATCAGTATGTTAACTTTGGTTTCTTTTGGGTGGCCTACTATAAGTGGTTACTTTTCTATATTTTCTACAATATACATATTTGTTTTATAATGAAAAAAATAAAAAAATACTCTCATACATTCACACACTGGGATATCATGCAGCTATGAAAAAAGTGAGATCAATATATGCTGATACAGGCCCTGGCCAGTTTGGCTCAGCGGTAGAGCGTCAGCCTGCAGACCAATGAGTCCCGGGTTCAATTCCAACCAAAGGCACATACCTCGGTTGCAGTTTGTCCCTGGCCCTGGTTGGGGTCGTGTGGGAGGCAACCAGTCGATGTGTCCCTCTCATGTTTGATGTTTTTCCCTCTCCCTTTCTCTCCCTTCCACTTTATCTGAAGATAAACAGAAAAATATCCTCGGGTGAGGATTAAACTATATACATACATAAAAATATATACTGATACAGAAAGAAATGATCACCTCTGGGAAGTAGCAACATAAAAATAAGAGGTAGGGGGAGAAGATCAACTTTTCCTTTTTTCCTTTCTACAGAGTTTGATTTATTTATTGCCATTAGCATTGTTTTTTAAAAAGTTGATTGGGCCCTGGCCGGTTTGGCTCAGCGGTTAGAGCGTCAGCCTGCGGTCCTGAGAGATCCGGGTTCGGTTCCCGCTGAGGGCACGTACCTCGGTTGCAGTTTGTCCCCGGCCCTGGTTGGTTGTGCGGGTGGCAGCCACTCGATGTGTTCCTTTCACATCGATGTTTCTCTCTCTCTCTCTGTTCCTCTCTCTCCCTCCCACTCTACCTGAACAAAAAAATGGAAAAATGTCCTCGAGTGAGGATAAAAAAAAAAAAGTTGATTGGAACATAAAAGAAATACCCTTATCAAATTTGTTAATACAGGCCTTTTCCTGGCAGGGCTCTAATATAAGATTCTATAATAGAAAAAAAAAATTGGATATTATCTGGTTTATTTATGTCTAAGATGATTTATAAATAGAAAACCACAAATACATGCAATGAACTAATAGAGAATAACTTGTTACCGTACCTGGATAATGTTTCATCAAATGCTCCAACAGTGATTCCTGTGTTACTACAGTCTGAGCAGCGTTCATGTCAGATATAGCACCACAAAGAACTTCAGCCAATGGTATAAACTGCGATTGGGCTATTGGATTCATTTGCACTGGAAAGACATCACCTACATTGGAGATTTTTTAAAAAGAGAAAAAGAAAAAGGTGATAAATCTGATAGTGTAATATATCTAGAATTAGTGAATCAAGAATATAAAACCTAGCCCGGCCAGTGTGGCTCAGTGGTTGAGCGTCGACCCGTGCACTAAGAGGTCACTAGTCAGGGCACATGCCAGGTTGTGGGCCTGATCCCCAGTGGAGGGCATGCAGGAGGCAGCCAGTCATTGTTCTCTCTCATTGATGTTTCCATCTCTCTCTCCCTCTCCCTTCCTCTGTCTCTCTAATATATCAGTAAAGGGGAAAAAAAGAATATGAAGCCTAAACAGCAGGTGAAATTGCTCTTCTTTCATCAGTTCATTATCAGAATCTACTAACATGACATGTGCAAGAATAGAAAATGTAGAAGAAAACAGTTTACATCACAGTCCTTACTTTTAGGAAGGTTATAGTATTATTCAGTACAAGAGAAAGTTTCCATACAAAAGTTACAAAGGGCTTTCATAGTTCAGGTCAGAAAATGCTTATATGACAATTCACATATTGCAAAGCATTTTTCATATTAATTATCTGAGGCAGGCAGGGATGGGATTATTATTTATTTATTTAAAATATACAAAGCTCAAGTAATTGTCCTAAGGTCTAAAAGCAAGTAAAGTGACAGAAATAGGTCTTCTGACACCTAATCAAGTATTTTCATCATTCCACACTACCCTGACTGGAATGATTAAGAAGATTTGAACTCTCTTTGCCACATCTACTGTGAGGATGAAGACCATTCTCAGCAATCAGATTGCTGACGTTCCAGAAAACGTCGACATCACCCTGAAGGTACGCACAGTTACTATGAAGGGCCCCAGAGGCACCCTGCAGAGGAACTTCAACCACATCAATGTAGAACTCTGTCTCCTGAGAAAGAAAAAGAAGCAGCTCCCGGTTGACAAATGGTGGGGAAACAGAAAGGAACTGGCCATGGTTCACACTATCTGAAGTCATGTACAGAAACATGATCAGGGGTGTTACACTGGACTTCCGTTACGACGTTGTTATTCGGGAGAATGGTTCTCTAGTTGAAATCAGAAATTTCCTGGATGGCAAATACATCTACAGGGTCCGGATGAGGTCAGGTGTTGCTTGTTCAGTATCTCAAGCCCAGAAAGATGAAATAATTCTTGAAGAAAATGGCACTGAACTTGTATCAAATTCAGCTGCTTTGATTCAGTAAGCTGCAACAGTTTTAAAAAAGGATATCAGAAAATGTTTGAGTGGTATTTATGTTTCTGAAAGCGGAACAGTTCAGCAGGCTGATGAATAAGATCTAAGGTGTCCAGCTATAGAAACAGCAAGATGCTGGATGATTCCTCAGACTTATTTGTGATACTTTAAAGACGCAATAAAAGCAACATATTGATTTGGGGGGAAAAAAAAAAGACCAGAAGACTTTAAAAAGGAAAGGGCAGAAGTGTTTTCCAACTAGCAAGAAGACATGGAGCAAAACCATGGAATGAGGAGAGCACAAGGTATGCAAGAGCATGAGTAGAGTTATCCTTGGATGGACACAGTTTAAGAGAAAAGAGTGGACAGTAAGGCTGGAAATGTAAACTAGACCACATTGTCTTTCCTCCTGACAACTTATTGTATGTTCTTGCCATTACTCGGGTTGAGTTTTCAGTTCTGCTGGACATCCAAGAGAACCCCCCAATTAATTGGAAATGAAAGTCTGGGACTCAGGAAAGAGATTTGGGAATCAACTAATAGAGATGAAATCTGAAGCTAAGGATCTTTAAAATATCAGAATAAATTATTTAGTAGAAGAGTAAAGAAGAGAGCCAAGGAACACTTAACTAAGGGACTAATCTACATTTAAGAGATGGCAGAAATAGTAACCCACAAGAAAGAGAAAGCACAGTAATGATGGAGGGAGAGAACCAAAAATATGAGGGAGAAAAAAACTGGTTCAAAATGAATAACAAATCAACAGTATCACATGTTTGAAAGAGATCAAAATGGTTGAGGAAGAAAAGAGCTACTAGATTTATTTATTATTGATTTTAGAGAGAGGAAGGGGGAGAGAGAGAGAGAAACTTTAATGTGAGAGAGAACACATGAGTTGGTTGCCTTCTGTACGTGCCATGACAGGATCAAATCCGCAACCTGGGTATGGCCCTGACCTAGAAGTGAAGTCGCCACCTTTTAGTGTATCGAACGACACTCCAACCAACTGAGCCACACCGGCTAGGGCGCCACTGGATTTCTTGATTAAAAGATTACCAACGGGGCCATGGCTGGATAGCTCAGTTGGTTAGAGTGTCGTGCTGATATATGAAGGTTGCAGTTCAACACCCAGTCAGGGCACATACCAGCGTAAACCAATGAGTGCATAAATCGGTGGAACAACAAAAAAGTCAAAGTTTTTCTCTCCCTCTCCCTTGCCCTCTCAAATCAATAAGTAAGCCCAGCCGGTGTGGCTCAGTGGTTGAGCATTGACCCATGCACCAAGAGGTCACTGTTTGATTCCTGGTCAGGGCACATGCCCAGGTTGTGGGCCAAATCCCCAGTGGGGGGCATGCAGGAGGCGGCCAATCAATGTTCTCTCTCATTGATGTTTCTAACTCTCTCCCTCTCCCTTCCTTTCTCTCTCTGATATCAATAAAAAAAATTTTTTTAAATCAATAAATAAAAATTAAAAAGAAAGATGACCAATGGACTTTCAGGGGAACTGTTTCTATAGAAAAGAACACAAATTCATGTTGAAGGGAAGGGACTTGGTGAGAAAAAAGTGAAAAACACTTTTTTGGATTTCTAGATTCTAGGGCAGGGTTTCTGGATATTTTGGGCCAGATACGGGGTGACCAACCATCCCAGGATGCCCAGGATTGAGAGATTTCCTGGGACATAGAACTTTCAGTGCTACACCTGAGAAAGTTGAAGGCAAACAGGCCACCTTAGCCAGATAAGGACTGTGTTGTGTGGGGTTGTCCTGTGTGTTGAGGATGTTTAGCAGCACCCTTGGCCTCTAACCCACTAGAGACCAGTAGTATCTCCCACATTGACAGCAACCAGAAATGTCTCCATCGCCAAATGTCCAGGGGATAAAAGACATGGGTAGAAGAGCTAGCTTAGAAATGAGGACGGGACTTCCGGTCAAGATGGCGGGTAGGTAAACGCAGTAACGCGTCCTCCCACAACCACATCAAAGTTACAACTAAACTACAGAAGAACCATCATTCAAAACTGCCTGAAATCAAGCTGAATGGACGTCCTACAACTACGGAATTAAAGCAGTAGCCACATCCAGACTGGTAGAAGGGGTGGAGGCGGAGGGGCTGGTCCCACACCCACGTGTGGCAGATAAAAATCAGGAGGACACCTCGGCTGGGAAGCTCCTCCCTGAGGACTGAGGGGTCCCCTTCCCACACCAGCCACCCCGCTCAGGGTTCCAGTGCCAGGAAGAGAAGTCCCCATAGCTTCTGGCTGGAAAAACCAGCAGGAACTGAGGCTCAGGGAAGCTGAAGCGGCTGGAGCCCCAGGCAGCTCCTTAAAGGGCCCGCACACAGACTTATCGGACTCTCTCCCTCTGAGCTTGGAGGGGAGGCAGCTCGAGGTGCGCCACAGACATACAGGGAAGAACTGAGCTGTTTGGCATTGGAGCGAGGGCTGAAGAGGGGGCTTTCTCCTGGACAAATGTGCTGTCAGAGGCCTTTGTTCCTTTGGTGAGCCCTTCCCTGGGGCGGCAGACAGCCGCCATATCTGGGACTCCAGCAACCTGGCTCACACTGGTAGCCCCGCCCTGGTGATTCCCTGAGGCCCCGCCCCACCCAACTTTCAGGTCCACCTAAGCTGTTGCCAGTTGCTTTACCATAGGATTGGCCTGTCTTGGATCCTGCTTCAGGTTTTCCTAAATTCTTGCAAACAAGCAACATCTGGTCTCAGCCCCATACCTCTCCTTAAGTAATACACAGAAACAAACATAGGGAGGCAGCCAAAATAAGGAGACAAAGAAACAGGTCCCAAATGAAAGAACAGAACAAAACCCCAATAAAAGAACTAAGCAAAACGGAGATAAGCAACCTAACAGATGATGAGTTCAAAATACTGCTTATAAGGATGCTCAATGAACTTAGTGAGGGCCTCAAGAGCATCAAAAAAGAACAGTCAGAAATGAAGGATGCACAGTCAGAAATGAAGGAGGCACTAACTGAAATAAAGAATAATTTACACAGATTCGATGGTAGAGTAGGCAAAGCCAAGAAGCAAACCATCAATTTGGAATCTAAGGAAGCAAAAAGCATCCAATCAGAACAGCAAAAAGAAAAAAGAATCCAAAAAAATAAGGATGGTGTAAGGAGCCTCTGGGACAACTTCAAGCATGCTAACATTCGCATCTTGGGGGTGCCAAAAGGAGAAGAGAGAGAACAAGAAATCGAAAACCTGTTTGAAACAATAATGGCAGAAAACTTCCCTAACTTGGCGAAGGAAACACACATATAAGTCCAGGAAGCACAGAGAGTCCCAAACAAGATGAACTCCAAGAGGCCCACACCAAGACACATCATCATCAAAATGCAAAAGGTTCCAGACAAAGAGAGAATCTTAAAAGCAGCAAGAGAAAAGCAGTTAGTTACCTACAGAGAGTTCCCATAAGGCTGTTAGCTGACTTCTCAAAAGAAACTTTGCAGGCCAGAAGTGGGTGGCAAGAAATATTCAGAATGATGAAAAGCAAGAACCTACAACCAAGATTACTCTATCCTGCAAAGCTGTCATTTAGAATCGATGGCCATACAGAGTTTCCCAGACAAGAAAAAGTTAAAGGAGTTCATCACCACCAAACCATTATTATATGAAATGATGAAGGGTCTTTTTGAAGAAAAAGATAAAATATATGAACAAACAAAACGGCAATGAATACATATCTATCGACAATGGAATCTACAAACAAAATGAACAGGCAGAACAGAAACATTCTCATAGATACAGAGAACATTTTGTTGGAGCCAGATGGGAGGGAGG